CTATTCATGTTAATGAGAGTCACCGTCACCAGGACGTTTCACTCCTACTTATGTTAATGAGAGTCACCGTCACCAGGACGTTTCACTCCTACTTATTTTAATGAGATTCACCATCACCAGGACGCCTCACACCTATTCATGTTAACGAGAGCCACCATTACCAGGACGCTTCAGTCCTATTCCTGTTAATGAGAGCCACCAACACCAGGACGTATCAGTCCTATTCCTGTTAATGAGAGTCGCCATTACCAGGACGTTTCAGTCCTATTCCTGTTAATGAGAGTCGCCATTACCAAGAAGCTTCAGCCCTACTTATGTTAATGAGAGTAACAATTACCAGGAAGCTTCTGTCCTACTCATGGCTATGTTTGGTATTTCACTGTGGTAAGGGATTGTATCGGGTTAGGAATGTTTGGTATTTTATCTGTGGTAAGAGATTGTATTGGGTTAGGAATGCTTGGTATTTCATCTGTGGTAAGGGATTGTATCGGGTTAGAAATGTTTGGTATTTTATCTGTGGTAAAGAATTATATCGGGTTAAGAATGTTTGGTATTTTATCTGTGGTAAAGAATTATATCGGGTTAGGAATGCTTGGTATTTTATCTGTGGTAAGGGATTGTATCGGGTTAGAAATGTTTGGTATTTTATCTGTGGTAAAGAATTATATCGGGTTAAGAATGTTTGGTATTTTATCTGTGGTAAAGAATTATATCGGGTTAGGAATGTTTGGTATTTTATCTGTGGTAAAAAATTATATCGGGTTAGAAATATTTGGTATTTTATCTGTGGTAAAGAATTCTATCGGGTTATGAATGTATGTATTGTATCCGTGGTAAAGGATAGTATCAGGTTAGGAATATTTGGTATTTTATCTGTGGTAAAGAATTATATCGGGTTAGGAATGTCTGGTATTTCATCTGTGGTAAGGGATTGTATCGGGTTAGGAATGCTTGGTATTTCATCTGTGGTAAAGGATGGTATCGGGTTAGGAATGTTTGGTATTTTATCTGTGGTAAAGAATTATATCGGGTTAGGAATGCTTGGTATTTCATCTGTGGTAAAGAGTTATATCGGGTTAGGAATGTTTGGTATTTTATCTGTGGTAAAGAATTATATCGGGTTAGGAATGTCTGGTATTTTATCTGTGGTAAGGGATGGTATCGGGTTAGGAATGCTTGGTATTTTATCTGTAGTTAGGGATTGTATCGGGTTAGGAATGCTTGGTATTTCATCTGTGGTAAAGAATTATATCGGGTTAGGAATGTCTGGTATTTCATCTGTGGTAAAGAATTATATCGGGTTAGGAATGTCTGGTATTTTATCTGTGGTAAGGGATGGTATCGGGTTAGGAATGCTTGGTATTTTATCTGTAGTTAGGGATTGTATCGGGTTAGGAATGCTTGGTATTTCATCTGTGGTAAAGAATTATATCGGGTTAGGAATGTCTGGTATTTCATCTGTGGTAAAGAATTATATCGGGTTAGGAATGTCTGGTATTTGGTTGGCGTTGTATAATTGCATCATGTAAGGAGAATCATTCATCCTTAATCGTTGACATATTGTGAACATATCAGTAACCAGAGACGAGAATCAATATGGCCGCTTTGTTGGCTGATTAATCAACATGATCATGATATCTCGACAATGCAAACACCATTACCTTGATTGGTATAGATAATGATGGCCAAATGGTCAGTAGATACAGACAACACGTCCCTACACAGTCATGCGACCTCGTGCACGCCCCGAGGGAATTGGTTGACACGTGGTGTGGTCCTCCCCGGGGTGTGATGTGTCGGTAATATGTCCGCGCCACACACCAGCTATTTCCAGGAGACAGGTAATTAGCTGTCCCAATATCATGTTTACAGTAACAAAGCACTCGATTGATTAGGCTTCAGATTGTCTGTCATTTGTAGTGGTTATTAAAGTGTGTACTAGTTCGCCAGACAGAAATGTGTCAGCACAGTAATACAGCTTCACATCTCGTCACATTCTGTATAATGTTTTAAAAAAATGTTCATCATAAACTACAGCATAGTCAGTTTTTTTCCTATTTCCTTTTTTAAGATCCAAACTAATTTTGTTTTAACATCAACCTAAGGTTGTCGGAAACTTTACCATCGACGACCTTGACATTCACTCAATATCCGTAGCGTCTTTACCATCGACGACCTTGATATTCACTCAATATCCGTAGCGTCTTTACCATCGACGACCTTGACATTCACTCAATATCCGTAGCGTCATTACCATCGACGACCTTGACATTCACTCAATATTCTTGGCGTTTTTACCATCGACGACCTTGACATTCACTCAATATCCGTAGCGTTATTACCATCAACGACCTTGACATTCAACTGATGCTGTCGAATACTCTACCATCGACAACCTAGATACTCAGCTGAGGTTTATCAAAATTAGTGAAATCACATTTTGTAGATGAATAAAATTTTCAAAATGTGCTATCAATATTCGGACTACTGATAACAATAATTCCTTATTAATGATATTAGTAATTCGAATTTGTTTTCAAAATATTAATTATCAAACATTTATTGATATCACTAAATCGAATGAGAGACATCACTGATTCATACATCGCTGTCATTAATTCGAATTCTTGATATAAGATAAATGCAGTGTTGATATTACTAATACGAATATTATTCCGAAATGTCCAGAATTGTTGATAACACTAATTCCAAGTATTGATATGAATAATTTCAATGAGTGATGTCACATTTTATAGATAAATATTAAAACGGTGCTCCGTATAATTTATGTTCTCTTAGATTTTAACACCGACGACCTTGACATTCACTTCTCGACCTGTTTGCATTATCAGGTAATGTTCAGTTCGAACCATCGTCTGTAACCCCGGAAGGGTAACATTGCCACCCTCTTGATGAGAGCGAGATCCCGTGTTATCTTTAATGGAATACCACTCATGAAGAACAGAGTAACGTGCCGTATAATATTGTCTTATGTTTGAAGGGAGATAACTCGGGTTAGTGTACAGTTTAAACTTACTTTAATATTAAATTTGTAACGGAACACAGTATTTTTGTCAGAGAATCGATCACCGCCACCATGTCCTTACTCAATATCATAATCCTCAATATATACAGGGCTAATTAACAAAGAACAAGAAGACAATTAAGAAATATTACATCCCTAGTAATCCTGAGCGAGTTTGTCTGCGATTGAAAACAAGCGGCCCATGGGCCTTAACGGTCTTCTGACTACCAAAACTTTCAGCAGGGAGAAGTGTTTTTTCTACTTTGAATGAAATCTTACTAATAGGCTGTTTTCCATGATGCAGATGGTAGTTTCGGTGAGGAGTGGGAAACTGTAATGTTGGAGCTCAATCCAACTGGTGAAACTAGAGAAGTTTGAAAAAAAAAATTGCACAGGACAAGCATGATTGCGCAATCATGATACAAAATGGCCTCCCTGGCGGCCGTATCGAAGTTTTGACAAGGTCGAAAAAGAACAACACTTTATTGACTACCTTTCCTTAACATTCCCACCGATGTTTAGCTCAATGGCACCAGTGGAACTGGAGAAGTTTAACACATGTTTTTCAAGATGGCGGCCATATTGGATTACAGACGAACCCAAAAAATAACAACACTTGGGCAGTGCCATCTCAGGATCATTTCATGTAAGTTTGAGCTCAGTCCCAATACTGGACACAATACATTATGATATTAATTTGCTTTCTATGCTTCCTATGGCGTTTATGTATTAGTCTTTAAATAATTACTGTTACATGTGAAGACCACTTTAATGATGCGCGTCGTTTCATTAAAAATCGATCCGTAAAATGCATATACTGTGTGGCATGAAGGATCGATTGTTTTCTATTTAAAGTTTCGTTTTCTTCATGAATGGAAGTGGTTTTGTTTAGAGATAAAAAATGTATATTTTCGTTTAAACTTGTGTTTTGGTATTTATTGTTTGTTCAGGTAGAAATATTGTATCATCAACTATATATAGTCATAAACATGAACCCGTCGATATAACCCACCAATTAGGGACCAAGGGGAACCCTCATATGAAATTTGAGAGAGATCCATCCAGAACTTCTCAAGAAATAGCGATAACAAACTTGTGAAATCAAAATCCAAGTTGGCCATCATGTTTTTTTTTATCAATCACAAACTCAACCAGGCACAACTAAGGACCAAGAGGAGTCTACATATGCACTCTGAGAAAGGTTCAGCCAGTACTTCTCAAGAAATAGCGATAAAAATTGTTTACGGACGACGAACGCAGGGCGATTTGAACAGCTCACCATCTGATGATGGTGGGCTAAAAACAAGGGGCAATAACTCTTCCCAAATTAGTAAATTCACATAGCCATTAAGGTAAACACTAGTCCATCTCAAATCTAGACGATGTGTTGGCAAACACAACTTCATGTCAAATCAAACTTACAAAGTTTGAATCGGATTGGTTGAAAAGTGTGGGGGACCTCTGGACATTTCAAATTTTATAACGGATGGATTGACAATACCACAATTGGTAACATCAACATCTTGTAATGAACACGTATGATTCAATGTACTTTAGAGAGCTGATACTGGTTTGGCGCTGGACCATCATTCTTTAACTTATTGCTTGTATATCAATATGGAATCCCTACTGAAAACACAGCCTAAATTGTTCATCAAATCAATGACATTTCAGGTTTCTTCTATTCAAATTTATTAGGTCATTTTCAATTCCAACTTTCCTTCTAGATTTTCTTAGATAATCAAAGCACCAGCAATCTGTTACTAACATTCTTTATTATAAACAACTTAAGCAGTATGAACTTTTCATTGCGAGTTTATTGTGTGTTAATTTCAGTGCGAGATCTACCGTTATTCCAATCTCTTCGATTTAGATGGAAAAAGTAACAATGCAAATGCCATTCCCTAATGCTTATCTTTGTCAACTAGTGACAAGTACATGTCATTCTTGTTAAACATATACTAAAACAACAGCATTGTCAGTACTTTTTATTAACACCAATGCAACCAAAATTACAATTTCTGTAAAGAAGATCAAAGAACTTTTAAGAAAGAGAAAAAATTGATGGAATCATTATGTTACAAGTTGATCTTTACAATCCGAAGCGTATAAGCACTTGCTAGCACAAAATTTATATCATCTGTATAATTTCTAAGTAATAATAGCACAAATCGGTTTACAACACCACCAGTACACACTGTGACAGTACTTTACCAATTCCAAAATGTAATGATTTTGATCTATTTACAACTGATCATGACCACATGCAATATCAATGTTATGACTTTACAGCAGTACTACAGATGATGAATTGTGAATTGCCCTATACAGACTTCCACAGACACATGTGTAATAGTCCGTGTCTAGTAAATATCACATCCTTATGAGCTTTAAAAGTCGTTCACATCATGTTCCATCACAGTAAATTTAAGAAGGCCTCCTTCAGAAAAAAGTAAAACAAGAATAGCCAGAGTCAGTAATATGTATACAAAGAATAATAAAATAAAACTCTATAAAGTTTAAATGGCATCAATATCAATATCTGGCCCAGTATCTACCGGAGCAGCAGGTGTTTCTACCTGCTGTCCAACCCTTCCTGTGGTTGAATACACAACCTGTAAACAAAACAAAAGTATCATCAGTTCAAGTTATCCACTTTCTCACATATACACAGAATTTGATCATTTATCTTGGAAATTAGAAGCAAGCTGCAGAAAGAAGCGTTAATCAGAATAGAGTTATTTGTACAGATTATCAATTTAGATATCTTATGGGCTTCATCTACACTTAACATACAACACATACTGTATATGTTGGCAATAAATACACAAGGAAACATACCTCAATATTCTCATCCTCCTCCTCACTTTCACTATCCTCCTCCTCAGCTTCCTTCAGCCATTTAATGAAAGGTGCAGCTTTCTCATGAATTTCCTGAACCACTTTCTTGTCCTGTACATACTTCTTGGAAACCTGTTAATCATGTTATAATGTTATGTTTGTACCAAAATTAATGTTCCATGTCATCAGGTAGTCATAAATAATAATAAAAAAAAAAAAAATTTTTTCTAAAGATGTTAGCAGATTTGTTGCATCATTATGATATTCAAAGTTTTATGGGCGACGTCCATAATATGGCTTTTACTATATTTTCCAAGAAATTAGTAATTAGGAATTAAAAATTAATTCTGTGCAAGTTCTTAAACCTCAAAGCTACAGAACCAGGGAGGTTGGGAGAACTAGCCTGCAAACAGAGCTTTAACATCATTAATACTGCCAAATTTCATAAGTCTTCACATGAAATCTCTTTTCTCTTGGCATCAGAACTTTGGTAGATTACACATTTGAAGTTGTGAAATTGGTCATTAACTAAAACTGACAATTACCTTCTTATCCCAGTCTAGGATAACTTCTTCCTCCAGAATATCCGAGTCGTACAGGGCCTTCAGAATATGTGGCATTTTGGGTAGTAATGATCCAGCATGCACTTTCCCCACCAATTGCTCCATTCCTCCCATAAGATATTTTTGTGCTTTATGATTCTCATGGCAAAACTGCAAATTAGATAATAAAATTTATTCATACCAGAAAGTCAGATGTTCATTGCCAAATGTTACTGATGTAAGAATTCATAGTTTGAAACAACCCTATGGCAATAATGTACATGACAACATCAATGGAATACAACATCAACACCTTCAAATTCTAGCCAAATTTTAATATCCTACAGTTCAATCAGTCGAATAATGAAAGCTTGTAACATTTCTAAACAGGTTTCTAAACATTCTCTTGAAGAGTAGCAGTGCTTTCCCTTACCCTTAAGAAAAGACGGCGATGCTGTTTAATTTGACTGAGAATCTTGGTGTCAAACAACAACTCCACTAAAACCAGAGTGCCCTTGTCCTTCACTTCCAGCCTCTCTGCCTCTGCCACGATGTCCTTCTCCACAGCAGCCATATTGTTACTGTCACACTTCGACTAAAAAAAGAAAAGGTATTGCATAAAATGAGATATGATGATGTATATACAAAAATTCCATGTGTTGTCAAAGGATATGTTGTGTAAAGCAATCATCTTTAACGAAAGCCTGGGTTTCCTACACCTATAATTCCAGAGGCAACAGCCAAGTGTCATCAGGTCAGAAAAGGATTAGTCAATCATGGGATTCTGTAGGGGAATCCAAATGATATTTCATCATACCCTGATGTTACACTATCTACATCAAATTAGCAAAGCCTCTCTTTCATTTCCTGGGATTTGAAGTCGTTCCACTATAGAACATAACAATTGTATCAATTCAACCAATGGATAGCCGAGGATCCTTGTATCACTGCATATATACACACAGTGTCTAAGTTTGTTTGAAAACATTCTTCCTCTCCCTCCCCCCTCCCCAATCAAATAATATCTGTCAAATAAAACACTATTATCACCTTCTGTTTTATCATGTTTTGCTCTGATCAGTCCCAAGCTCGGAAGGGCATGAGAAAGATCAATCCACAAGCAGTGATAGCAAGAACTGTTTGTGGATTGATAGCAGATTAGTGATTTGAAACGACCACCATCATGAAAGTGGTCTAAAACCTACATACAGCATCAACCTCCTTTTGAATTGCTATGGAATGTCTAAATACAATGTATTGGTTAGCGATTTCAAAACCCTGAAAGGTATACATATTTATCTGACTTCTGAAATGAGGAAATGAAGCACCTCCTTGCATCATTGACAAGTCAAAGGACATAGACTGTATCTTATACTAAATCTGTGTTTTGTGAAATACCAATGAACAACTTCAGATTCCCTGTATCATTACTTAATGCACAATGAACAAAATGAATAATTTCATCAGGTCAGAAAAGGATTAGTCAATCATGGGATTCTGTAGGGGAATCCAAATGATATTTCATCATACCCCGATGTCATTAATCAAAAGTTAATTTCACCTGATTCCTGTTTTTCTTTACTTTGCTAACAGGTAATTTCAGGTCATTGTTTTGCGATTTTTCCATTCAGAAAAATACAAATCGTCTGGAATCTGCTTTTCTTACCTTCACAAACTGGTAAAACATTTCCAGTCGGTCATCTTGAGATTTTTCCAGGTCATCAGACAAGGCCATGATCTTTGCTGCATCACTAAGTTCTTCCATTCTTTGCTTTATGGCATCTGCTGTAACTGCTTCATCAGGAATCCAGTCCTCACCGTCATCATCTTGGTTATCCTTTAGTGCAATGGCAAAACTCTATTTTATATATGCATTTAAATTGCTTGAACTAGTGCTTTAAAGCGTCTACACTCAGAAACTAAGTGTACATGTTTATTCTTGTTAAAAAAAAGAAGATGCAAGAGACTTTACAATATCAATTCTGACTACACTGTAGACTTGTATTTGAGAGTGGATTCAATATGAAATTTTATATATATTATTTACACTGAAATCTTTGGTGGTGAAAGGTTTTAGGTATTTAATCATATTTGGATGTGTAATTTTCAATCTATTAAATAGTTATGCAAATAAGAATATTTTCATGTTGACCTAGCATGAAAAAATTGTGCATGATAATGTGAAAAGATCAATATCCTTTTTTTCATACGTCTCATTATTTCATGTACTATTTCATATTGGCAGTCTAGTCATTACTTCATGGACACTTTTTTGCATTATTCCTGCCGACTGTAATGTTTGGCAATTTAGTTCTATAGACCTAATATGCTGTTGTAAACCTTAAAAAATGATATGTTAATGACAATTAAAGCAGTACTAACAACTTCAGGTGGGGCATCCACTACACCACCGCTGGCACGCTGAGCAGCCATCTGTTCCTGAGCATTTGCCTCAGGACTGGCGCGATCCCTGTCCTCACTATCTCCATTAACATGTTTCTTGTTGGACTTCTCTTTCTTACTTTTCTTACCCCCTTTAGTTGGAGTTGCAGCCGACGGATCCTACAATAACCCATTGCACTTCTTTCAAACTTAAATCACCTCCAACACCATCTAAACAACTTATATTACAATTCTTTTAATTCATTGGATAAACATCCAAGAATTTTATCAATTATACAGTAAACTATGATATGATTTGCCAACACTCATTTACAAAAAAGTTGACAAGAAAATCTTATAAATTGCTTTGAAACCAAATTTTCTTTTTTATGTATACATACAAAATCTGGAGGGTTCTTCAAGATAAAAGTTGTCAGTTTATGCCTCATGTCAACTTGGCCTGAAAAACCACATGCAATGCATCGCTGGGCAATTGTTGTCTTCTTCACCGTCTGTAACAAATATGTGGCAACACATACAATCATCATATTGAAATGGCTCAAAACTATGTTAAAATTTACTCAATTTTACTACTTTTTAATGTAGTATGTTCCTTTTCCCATGAAGCTTTCATCATTTATTCAATTTAAACTTCAAGCAAACATTTCTTAGCCATTTGGAACAAAAGGACAACATTGTTATACTACTTGTACTTCGACATGCTTGCTAGTCTGCTACAGTACAGGTTGCTTGTAGATCAATGATTGCTAAAATGTTAGCCAGACAAAAACATTTAATATCAATATATCAAGATTTGAATCCCTAAGCATTTCTAACTTTTGTTGCACATCCCTTATGATGACTAATTTGTAATGCTGGTAAAATTCCAACTGCAATATACTGTTCTGCTACAGAGAATTTCTCTTTGGCTCAATCGGTTGTTTAGTAAGCCAAAGGTCCAAGCTTCAAATACTAGTAGACAGTGAAATAAATTATGACCTCTGTTATATTGGTGTCCATGTAGGGATTCCAGAATAATACTTAACAATGCTTTCATTATTGTAACCCCTGGAAACTTAAGAGCTAGTAATTCCTTAAAGAGGGGGTACTGTAAATAATCTTCTTCAGACTATTTGGGAATACATGATTTCGCAAACAATGATCGAGAAAAGACTTTAAATTTGCGAATGATGAGGTAATAGAAAACATGACCCTACAAGACTCTGTATTGGTAACCAAATCAACATGAATGCCATTATTTTCGTACAAGTAATTGCAAAGAATTTGAATTCTTGATTGACTCTGCTTGCATATTTTCACACACACCAAACAAAAACACATGAACTATAAGTTATTTACAGTATGTAAGAATTGCACTAGCTTGATTAGTTGAGTGTCGCACTAGTAAGCTAGGGATATTGAGCTTAAATTCTACCAGAGGCATTAAAATGGAAATGGAAAGGGTATACCAATCAAGTTCAACACTGTCTCATGTATTAATTATTTTCATTCTTAAACTATCTTTAATAGCTAGCATGTATGCATGCTAACTTTGCACAAAATACTTACAAATTTAGTTTCAGGATTAGAACATTCTGGACAAAGCACAAATCTTTTAATGAATCCATCTAGAAGTGACTGAAGCTTTTGGGCATCATGTGAACCATTTACAATGTATCGCTCATTCTTGAAATCAAATTGAGTTTGAGCTCCAAGTTCACAGCCAAAATATTTGGTGGGATCTGGAAAATAAAGGATTCAGTGTTTCTGTATCCATAATTTAGGCTAGATTAAATACAAAGTGATCATAAAATAAACGTGAACATTCACAGGCATTTTACAGTGAAATCAAAATTTTCACTTTTGTAAGTATACTTACATGTTGGTGGCCGATCCAATGCTTTGGCGACCTCAACCATATTAACAATGACTGTTTTAATTCCATTGCCCTTGCCTTCAACCTGTTTTAAATATATATTTCAAACAGAAATTAGACATACAAATGTACTTAAGACATCTACACACCAAATATCTTAACACAAAATCTGAACCTAAAACAATTTTGATATTTCAATTAATGACAATTTCATAATAAACTTAAATAATAATTGAGAAACATGTGACAGAGTATGTATTTTGTGCTGTCAGTGTGGAATCATATCTAGTACCATCACAGGGTGTACATTCAAAGATAAACTATTAGTATTGAAAATGTTATGTAAACTACTTTTTTTATTCCCTAAGATATTATTACCTTAGCTAGGAGACGAGGCATCTTGTACCTGTAGAAGGGGTCGGTAACCTCACTATTGATGTTGAGGCTAGCCATTGCGAAGTACTTGTGGTAGACCTGTGCTTTCTATGAATTCCACTGCCCGTACAAAACAAATGGCAACAATACCTTTGGAAATTCATAAAACTAATTAAAGGGTCTATAGTTTGATCCGAATGTGTGGAAGCAATTTTTCTTTTGTGCCACGGCAATGGCCCTGAAAGAAAGTAAAAACAAAATGAAAGTACTGGTACAATATATAATGACTAGATTACCAACAGTTTATGTGGCTTCAGTACAGGAGGCCTTAATAATTTCAGTTAGGTGAATTGACAGTGTAACATCTATAATATCAGTCATTGGTTCAAGCTCCATATTTTTCTACATTTGTCTCTGTTGCATTAACAGTTCATCACTTTGTACATGATATGAAGCAACTTTATATGTGCATGAGTGTGTTAAAATAAGTTTTGATACAAGATATAGAGTCCTTTTCTCATTATTGATTAAAAGGAATTCACAAGTTTAAAATCCTAGTGAAACCTGGGACGTATAATACTGTATTATACGTGAAACACACATTGATATAAATTACATTGACATCTCTATTTTCCCAAATTGTATGAGCCTTGAAACTATTATGTGGCAAAGCTTCATTCAAAGGGTACTGTTTTAAAGGCTTAATAGTAATCGGATGTCATGTCTAAAATAAGAATTTCCATTGATGACGTAAATATCAAGTCAACATAATAAGTTCCGTTCGGCATATTTTATCGACAGCCAATGGTCTCTGGAAACGCGCCAAAAATCCCCACACTTCCTCTTTAAAGAAAATGCCAAACTTCATCCATTATTAAATCATACGATTCGTACGTGATATTTATCTGAACTGATTATATATTTAGGACGTGTTAAGACAAATCGTGACGAAATTTAAGGCCATATGAGCCAATCCCACGTCCACGTGTTTTCAATATGGCCACTTTGTCGCGACAAAGTAACCTTGAACTGGATCTATAATGAGAGGAAATATTCTAACATAAAATCAAGTTATTCTTCGTTTTTATGCTGATAAGTTTGAAATTGTTAAAAAATACTTACCGTCTATACTCAAAAACGTCATAAAAAAGGTTGTCAAAGTGGTGTTATGAAAAAAAAATATATATCCGGAGTCGAGGTACTGCCTACGCAGGTTGCTTGGGACTTGTCCCAATATGTCGATGTAAAACGCCCCGACGGAGCCAAGAGATTTCGTCAAAAGCTATAAAAAGATAAAATAAAGTTGTAAAATTTCGAATTATATATCAATATTATCCTTTCGCAACATAAATAACTGTTACGTCTAAATTCAGTATAATTTTGCGGACACGTCCGTCACTCACCCAAGAATTCCAACTTGTGCTGGTCACGAGATCCCGGATGTAGACTTCGTTCTCGAGAGAATTAAAGTTCCGCGATAAAATGCGAGATTTAATACATTCCGCCATATTGCCAGGATGGTCACACGGTGAGGGGGAGTAAGGAAGCTCGACGAGATCATTCCAGTTATCTGAAATGCAGACTTAAAAATGTGCGATGTGGTTTGAGAAATCGCAGATGTTATGTGCTTTCGTGTGTGGATCGTCCAGGTCAATGATCTGTCAATATAAATACGAAAAAAGACAACTCCTTACGGAAAAGTGTTTTTGACAGATTGTTGCCCACCTCATCACCAGATTTGTTTATCAAATCCCAAGTCACCTTTGTCTCCTTTTGTTTTTGACAGCATAGGTGGGTTGAATAGAAAATTGTTAGCCAACCATTCCTTCATTTTTTAGTTTCACAGTATATCAATACGTGTCCTTTAGGTTTTATTAATATTTTTGCAAACAGGTGCACTTCGATCCTAATCCCGATCCCTGAAAACCGGTAACTCGTGCAGTCATTCAAATCGCCAGTTCCAGTTGCGGAATGAGGTGTAATTGGGTATTTGGCGAATAAACGAAGCACATGGTGTCCTCAATTCCTATCATGTCGCATATTTAAATGAATATTAAAAAATGATGCTGTATATTGTACAAAAGAACAAACGTTACAAATCATACACATCATTTTTCTATTAACTTGCCTAAAGCAATTAAATGTTGTACACTAGTTTTCACTCATTTTTCCCAATAACTTCACTTTCCAGCATATTTACGATGGCCACCACATAACAGAATGTCTCTGTAATTGTGCTTGTAAGCCTACTGAAAAGTAAACTCTCTTACGATTGGTAGATTTGGTAGGTTTACAAGGACAAGCGAAGAGAGAATCCATATAGGGCAGTCGTTAGAATGGGGATGTATAATATTAGTATTATATGTCCCTGGCTAAGACAAGTTTGAAATTGATGAAATTCAATTTCTTTTAAGGTTAATTGATATCACAAATCAACACACATAAAATGAAATTAACAAATAGAATTTCATCCATTGTAATATATTTGACCCTTTTGATATTTTGACTTAGGGATCTTGCTTTGACTCCTTTGGATTTTAGAGCTTAGAGTTGCAAACTCTCAAGATTAAGAATCTAGATTCATGTATGAGAGTAATGCATGTTATAAAGTTTCAGCTAGGCATGTAGCAGAATCTGTAACATGATGCCATCAATGAACTAAAATTCATGCAAATTTTTATGTGTACCTAGTTTGTGATGTTTGCTATCATGTTTTTTTCAAGGTTCTGATGAGGATGTGTTCAAAGTACTACACAATTTTCTCCCCATTTTTTTCAATGGAAATATTTTATTCAATGTGATATAGACCAGATCAATATGACAATAATCTTTCTTAATTAGTGGTTATTGATATCAGTGTAGTGTATAGGTGTTTTACACAGTACCAACAGAAATTCAATCTATTTTGAAGATCAGTATATACATTGTATCAATAACTTACATATATGTCAGGTAGTAAACTTAATATATAGATTAATTATCATTATTTATCATTATTATATAATATCATTTACAAGATTGACACATCAATTAGCAGACTAACCACACATCAATTTAGAGACTAAATATACATCATTAATCCTTGTTGTCATCATAATTGTCATTATAATATCAACATTATCATATCACTGTCATCAATCAATAAACTTTATATTTATCATTTATAAGCAATGTCTTCACCATCTTCCTCAGTTTCTCCCCATTTTTAGATGCCTCTGTCCTAGCTTGAGACACACAGAACAAAATCTGTAGTACTTGCACATGTAATCATATTTTTTTTATAACAAAACCAACAGTACTAGCAATTACATATCTTGAAGATTCTGTGGAGATCTCTCTTTTGAAATCTTTATATTAAGTTGCAGTGTTACATAGAGGGGATGTATCTATACATCATTGTAAATATGATAACTATTACCAATAGTGTCAGAGCTCTCGATCTGCTGCCAGATTTGGGGCCATTCCCAATGCAAAATAGTAACTTTTTTCCCAATTTAGACCCCAAGTTTTCCCAATTCTAAGGAAAACACCATTATTTTTCCCAATTCAAAGGGCCCCAGGCCCTAGTCCCAAAATGGGGTGTGAGAGCCCTGAATGTGTTGAGTTTTCAATAGTGATGAAGCTGCACTAACCTTACATTGATTACATCATTAGAGAGTATACACCATGCTGTACCACATAGTACTGTTGGTTACATTTTATCTTTAGAGGGTCTACACCATGCTGCACCACATAGTACTGTTGGTTACATTTTATCTTTAGAGGGTCTACACCATGTTGTACCACATAGTACTGTGAGTTACATTTTATCTTTAGAGGTACCACATAGTACTGTTGGTTACATTTTATCTTTAGAGGGTCTACACCATGTTGTACCACATAGTACTGTGAGTTACATTTTATCTTTAGAGGGTCTACACCATGCTGTACCACATAGTACTGTTGGTTACATTTTATCTTTAGAGGGTCTTCACCATGCACTACCATGTAGTACTGTTGGTTACATTTTATCTTTAGAGGGTCTACACCATCATTCACTACCATGTAGTACTGTTGGTTACAAGAACTGATAATTTAGGCATGATCTTGAAAACTCTTTGTCAAATTTACAATTTGACAGATGTGGTTATTTTACAATGCTCCACTCTAAGCTGTATGGTAACACAAGCAAGTTAGCTGACATGACAGCGTAATTTCTTTATTTTACAGGTGATACAAGTTAAGACACAAGTGAACCAATAGTGGGTCACCATGTAAATATTCAGTCCTCCATTAATTTTGAGATAGCATTGAGTGTTAAATGCAATTCAAACTTATGATAGACATTCATTGGATTAGGTCATGATTCATTGATGAAAACTATAAACTAGAATGATAGACCAAATTGTAACTCTGGGGGATATCCATCTGCCTTGTCCCACCTGGACTTAATCTAAGACTTGCTTTGGATTGCTTTTTGCACATCATGAGTAGGATCCCATCCCTGACGTAAAATTCTTGCATGAGGTTCAGGCTTCAAATGTCGAGGTCATCTTTAGAGAATGGTTTCTTTATGATATCTCAAGTTTTGCTCTGCTGATTTCACTCGTCTTATACTTATCGCTTCCTGAAAGAAGGTACTTGATTAAATTTACTTGTCTATCAGATCTGAGGTTAATGCTCACTGTATTTATTGAATACTATGAATAGAAAATGTTTCTTGTACTTTCTTGAGAGTGCTTTTCAGTTCCAGAGGTCAAACTTATTATGATTAAAAATTGCCACACAATATCTCTAGCTCTATCTGGCCGATGCCACTCAGATTTCATACAGTGTCTCTTCAAAGACAGTGCTTGCCTTGCTATCATTTCACCATTCTTATAAGCAGGTTACTTATAATAACATCTTTACAATATTCTCTCCTGACAAACATCCAGCAATGCATGTGAAATTGTAATCTGTCTTGATATGATGGTATGTGATAATATGTCATATTTCTTATATCCAAATTAATGGTTTTGTGCATTCTCAAGATTCAAACATGCATCCATAATGGTAATGTCTTTCAATTCCTTGTTAAACCTTTTCTGTTTTCAGGGGCTAATACCTAGTCTCTCAGCTGAATTAATGCCTGATTTAGTATCAATGCTTTTATTGTGAACTATTATTGCATGTGGAAATGCCTCTGTTATGTCTGCCTGTACAAGTTAACCTGGGTTTGCCCTGATGATTACTTGTCTTTTCCTTTTATATCAATTAAATAGGAAGGTGATGGATAATGATAAGCAACTACCAACATAAGTCTGTTAGACCAAATGAGGACATGTTGTAGTTATACCTTATAATCTGATTGATATCTACATTCAGGGGGACATGTTGTAGTTATACCTTATAATCTGATTGATATCTACATTCAGGGGGACATGTTGTAGTTATACCTTATAATCTGATTGATATCTACATTCATGGGGACATGTTGTAGTGTAACCTTATAATCTGATTGATATCTACATTCAGGGAGACATGTTGTAGTGTAACCTTATAATCTGATTGATATCTACATTCAGGGAGACATGTTGTAGTTATACCTTATAATCTGATTGATATCTACATTCAGGGGGACATGTTGTAGTGTAACCTTATAATCTGATTGATATCTACATTCAGGGAGACATGTTGTTGTGTAACCTTATAATCTGATTGATATCTACATTCAGGAGGACATGTTGTAGTGTAACCTTATAATCTGATTGATATCTACATTCAGGGGGACATGTTGTAGTGTAACCTTATAATCTGATTGATATCTACATTCAGGGGGACATGTTGTAGTGTAACCTTATAATCTGATTGATATCTACATTCAGGGGGACATGTTGTAGTGTAACCTTATAATCTGATTGATATCTACATTCAGGGAGACATGTTGTAGTGTAACCTTATAATCTGATTGATATCTACATTCAGGGGGACATGTTGTAGTGTAACCTTATAATCTGATTGATATCTACATTCAGGGGGACATGTTGTAGTGTAACCTTATAATCTGATTGATATCTACATTCAGGGAGACATGTTGTAGTGTAACCTTATAATCTGATTGATATCTACATTCAGGGGGACATGTTGTAGTGTAACCTTATAATCTGATTGATATCTACATTCAGGGGGACATGTTGTAGTGTAACCTTATAATCTGATTGATATCTACATTCAGGGAGACATGTTGTAGTGTAACCTTATAATCTGATTGACATCTACATTCAGGGGGACATGTTGTAGTGTAACCTTATAATCTGATTGATATCTACATTCAGGGGGACATGTTGTAGTGTAACCTTATAATCTGATTGATATCTACATTCAGGGGGACATGTTGTAGTGTAACCTTATAATCTGATTGATATCTACATTCAGGGAGACATGTTGTAGTGTAACCTTATAATCTGATTGATATCTACATTCAGGGGGATATGTTGTAGTGTAACCTTATAATCTGATTGATATCTACATTCAGGGGGACATGTTGTAGTGTAACCTTATAATCTGATTGATATCTACATTCAGGAGGACATGTTGTAGTGTAACCTTATAATCTGATTGATATCTACATTCAGGGGGACATGTTGTAGTGTAACCTTATAATCTGATTGATATCTACATTCAGGGGGACATGTTGTAGTGTAACCTTATAATCTGATTGATATCTACATTCAGGGGGACATGTTGTAGTGTAACCTTATAATCTGATTGATATCTACATTCAGGGGGACATGTTGTAGTGTAACCTTATAATCTGATTGATATCTACATTCATGGGGACATGTTGTAGTGTAACCTTATAATCTGATTGATATCTACATTCAGGGGGACATGTTGTAGTGTAACCTTATAATCTGATTGATATCTACATTCAGGGGGACATGTTGTAGTGTAACCTTATAATCTGATTGATATCTACATTCAGGGGGACATGTTGTAGTGTAACCTTATAATCTGATTGATATCTACATTCAGGAGGACATGTTGTAGTGTAACCTTATAATCTGATTGATATCTACATTCAGGAGGACATGTTGTAGTGTAACCTTATAATCTGATTGATATCTACATTCAGGGAGACATGTTGTAGTGTAACCTTATAATCTGATTGATATCTACATTCAGGGGGACATGTTGTAGTGTAACCTTATAATCTGATTGATATCTACATTCAGGGGGACATGTTGTAGTGTAACCTTATAATCTGATTGAGATCTTCATTGAGGAGGACAGTAGTTTAACCTTATTACAGGTAATTTTATTATTGTCAGTGTGTCCAAAATGTCCTAAAAAGTCTTGTGTTGAGGTGTGTTATCAATATTGTAATCAATATTTGCTTTTGTTTGAATTCATTTTGCTTGAGTTTATTGTATTGACCTTGATGTATATATATATTTATTTATTTTGGTGTTTGGATATTATTGCATGATGTGTATCCTGCATTTTCAGGCCATGTATACCTGCCTTCTCTAACCTGAAAGCATGGACAGCTCACAGTCTGCAGGGATGTCTGAAGAAAATAGGTAAAAACTAATCTTTTTTTATTTAGCACACTGCTATCTTGTTATTGCCCTTTTTGGAGAAGTTTTTGACAGATCATCATAATTTCATATGTAGGTTCACATTGCTATCTAGTTTTGAGTAGACCTTTTTGGACTGATAGAAAAAAATGAGCTGGTTAAGCGGCAGCCATTTTACTGGGTAGTTATTGACAGTCCAAGTTTGTCATTGTTATTTTAGGACTGATCAGATAAATAAAATGACTGACAGATGGCCATCTTGGATTTTGACAATGAAAGTTTGTTGTCACTCTTTCCCAAATCTTGAATGAAGGTTCCCTGTTGTTCCTCACCGACCCTTGGGATTTTGGGACTGATCAGAAAAACATCTGACTGGTAGCCATCTTGGATTTCTACTATGAAAGTTTTGTTATTACTATTTGTTAAGAAGCACTGGATGGACCCTTTTCAATCATAAGTAGGTTTCCCTTGCTCCATAGCTGTTCTCTAATGATTTTGGGACTTATCAGAAAACAAAACATCTAACAAGTAGCCATTTTGGATTAGACTGTAAAAGATTGCATTTAAATATGAATAAAAAAAAGCAAATAAATGAAAAGAAGGGTAAAGATCCATTTTTTTATGAGAAATAATGATCAAGCAATAGTGGGCAACACTCCCTGTAGAAAATCTTGTCTATAAAAGAGAGATCCATGAACTGCATGTTACAAGCTATATGGCATGTAACTTTACTGATGTGTAGCTTGTCATGGTTCCCTGCCATCTTTTCTTAGCAATTTTTTCCCTAAGGTAAGACTAGTATTGAAGTAGTCATCTTATTTGTTATCCTTTTGTCGTAAACTGATTCTCATTCTTGCAATGTTGAATGTGCCTATCCGTCAATCTGGTGAACATTAGTTTTGCAAATTTTAATTAAAAAAATTGAACAGATTTGTTATCTTTGTAAATAGTGATAACCTGAAAAAAGTAAAAGGTATTTATAATCAAGGTGTCTCACTGAACTGTTAGCCTTGAATTAGGGGTCTTCTTCAGTTTGCCTAGCCATGTTATGGGAAGATAAAAAGGACCAGGTATCCTGATTTCAATGGGGTTCAAATTATTGATCTATCTCTGGATCTCAATGCTGACTGTTAACTTGTAAAACTGTTTAACAGATATAATGAACAAAGCTCCAGTTTGTAGACTGATACCGAGATGGCACAACCTAATTAGGAAATGCTGACATTTTTGAATCATTTTCGTTTGGAAACGGTTATTGGTATCTGGGTATAACAGATACATAATCTGCCACACTGGTTATTATGTATCGATGACGTAGAGATGGTCTCTTTAATCAATGATGCTCCTTTCTTTTTGTATGCAAACATAAGTAGTGGAAATAAAATGGAAAACATTCAAATTACAAGTCATTGGTCTTCTGACATACATATACAAGGTATCACAAGGGGTCCCAAATGGTACTTTTCTGACATACGTATACAAGGTATCACAAGGGGTCCCAAATGGTACTTTTCTGACATACGTATACAAGGTATCACAAGGGGTCCCAAATGGTACTTTTCTGACATACGTATACAAGGTATCACAAGGGGTCCCAAATGGTACTTTTCTGACATACGTATACAAGGTATCACAAGGGGTCCCAAATGGTACTTTTCTGACATACATATACAAGGTATCACAAGGGGTCCCAAATGGTACTTTTCTGACATACGTATACAAGGTAGATCACAAGGGGTCATAAATGGTACATATGCCAACTCCTGATCATGTAGATGTTTCACAAATAAATCATGGTATTTATGAAAATCATAAAGAAATTCTTTATTTTCTCATCACACATCAACAGATTACTTTAACTCCATATCATAAGGCATACAGTTTGAATGTAATGCAAAGGTAGGGCTTACATTTTTTGATACACAACAGTATTTGCTTTATCACCAGATAACATTACTGTATCCTGTAAATGATGCTGATATTTGTCTCCATTTTTTCATTTTTCATATTGAATTCTGTTCTTAGAAATTGAGGAAATTGAAAAAATGAATATATTGAATGACATGCATGTTCATGTATATAGTTGTGTCATATTTCTCTATCATTGAACAATGATAACCGGTTTTACTAGTTATGTGACTTTTATACCCAGAGATACACACACCTGTGTCTAAGCTGAGGAAGACAGACACTTCAAATGTCTGCACTTCCTGACATAGCGTGACCAGAAGATACTATTGTAGCAGCGCACACTTCAAATGTCTGCACTTCCTGACATAGCATGACCAGAAGATACTATTGTAGCAGCAGACACTTCAAATGTCTGCACTTCCTGACATAGCGTGACCAGAAGATACTATTGTAGCAGCAGACACTTCAAATGTCTGCACTTCCTGACATAGCATGACCAGAAGATACTATTGTAGCAGCAGACACTTCAAATGTCTGCACTTCCTGACATAGCGTGACCAGAAGATACTATTGTAGCAGCGCACACTTCAAATGTCTGCACTTCCTGACATAGCATGACCAGAAGATACTATTGTAGCAGCGCACACTTCAAATGTCTGCACTTCCTGACATAGCATGACCAGAAGATACTATTGTAGCAGCGCACACTTCCTGACATAGCATGACCAGAAGATACTATTGTAGCAGCGCACACTTCAAATGTCTGCACTTCCTGACATAGCATGACCAGAAGATACTATTGTAGCAGCAGACACTTCAAATGTCTGCACTTCCTGACATAGCGTGACCAGAAGATACTATTGTAGCAGCGCACACTTCAAATGTGTGCACTTCCTGACATAGCGTGACCAGAAGATACTATTGTAGCAGCGCACACTTCAAATGTGTGCACTTCCTGACATAGCGTGACCAGAAGATACTATTGTAGCAGCGCACACTTCAAATGTGTGCACTTCCTGACATAGCGTGACCAGAAGATACTATTGTAGCAGCGCACACTTCAAATGTGTGCACTTCCTGACATAGCGTGACCAGAAGATACTATTGTAGCAGCGCACACTTCAAATGTGTGCACTTCCTGACATAGCGTGACCAGAAGATACTATTGTAGCAGCGCACACTTCCTGACATAGCATGACCAGAAGATACTATTGTAGCAGCGCACACTTCCTGACATAGCATGACCAGAAGATACTATTGTAGCAGCGCACACTTCCTGACGTGACCAGAAGATACTATTGTAGCAGCGCACACTTCAAATGTGTGCACTTCCTGACGTGACCAGAAGATACTATTGTAGCAGCGCACACTTCAAATGTGTGCACTTCCTGACATAGCGTGACCAGAAGATACTATTGTAGCAGCGCACACTTCAAATGTGTGCACTTCCTGACATAGCGTGACCAGAAGATACTATTGTAGCAGCGCACACTTCAAATGTGTGCACTTCCTGACATAGCGTGACCAGAAGATACTATTGTAGCAGCGCACACTTCAAATGTGTGCACTTCCTGACATAGCGTGACCAGAAGATACTATTGTAGCAGCGCACACTTCAAATGTGTGCACTTCCTGACATAGCGTGACCAGAAGATACTATTGTAGCAGCGCACACTTCAAATGTGTGCACTTCCTGACATAGCATGACCAGAAGATACTATTGTAGCAGCGCACACTTCAAATGTGTGCACTTCCTGACATAGCATGACCAGAAGATACTATTGTAGCAGCGCACACTTCAAATGTGTGCACTTCCTGACATAGCGTGACCAGAAGATACTATTGTAGCAGCGCACACTTCCTGACATAGCATGACCAGAAGATACTATTGTAGCAGCGCACACTTCCTGACATAGCATGACCAGAAGATACTATTGTAGCAGCGCACACTTCCTGACATAGCGTGACCAGAAGATACTATTGTAGCAGCGCACACTTCCTGACATAGCATGACCAGAAGATACTATTGTAGCAGCGCACACTTCGCACACTTCCTGACATAGCATGACCAGAAGATACTATTGTAGCAGCGCACACTTCCTGACATAGCATGACCAGAAGATACTATTGTAGCAGCGCACACTTCCTGACATAGCATGACCAGAAGATACTATTGTAGCAGCGCACACTTCCTGACATGACCAGAAGATACTATTGTAGCAGTGCACACTTCCTGACATGACCAGAAGATACTTCCTGACATGACCAGAAGATACTATTGTAGCAGCGCACACTTCCTGACATGACCAGAAGATACTATTGTAGCAGCGCACACTTCCTGACATAGCATGACCAGAAGATACTATTGTAGCAGCGCACACTTCCTGACATGACCAGAAGATACTATTGTAGCAGTGCACACTTCCTGACATAGCATGACCAGAAGATACTATTGTAGCAGCGCACACTTCCTGACATAGCATGACCAGAAGATACTATTGTAGCAGCGCACACTTCCTGACATAGCATGACCAGAAGATACTATTGTAGCAGCGCACACTTCCTGACATAGCATGACCAGAAGATACTATTGTAGCAGCGCACACTTCCTGACATAGCATGACCAGAAGATACTATTGTAGCAGCGCACACTTCCTGACATGACCAGAAGATACTATTGTAGCAGCGCACACTTCCTGACATGACCAGAAGATACTATTGTAGCAGCGCACACTTCCTGACATGACCAGAAGATACTATTGTAGCAGCGCACACTTCGGAAGCATTCTGAAAATTCCAATTTTTTATTTTTCAGTCTTAATTTGATAGCTTTATATCATCCACAGTCAGCTTTAAACAGTTCATTACCATCAAAGAGAAACTATCACTAGCTAAACCTAGATAATTCCTATTGATAAGGGTTTTATAATTTTAAAGCTATTCAAATGCTGTTCCAAATAAATAAAAACCAGCCCTGGTGTAACTGCATGAAGTAAGGTGCTGTCCTGGATATATGCTTTGCATAGCATGGTAGTCTTGTGATAAAACAACACATACATTTGTAACAGTTGGCATTGAGATTATCTCCAGCA